AACTATAGTTTCAGGGGATCTGGCGTCCTCTTCTGGCCTCGGTGGGCACTATATTACATGGAAGCTAAACACTTACACACATAAAATAAAAAAAATAAATCTATAAAAAAATTAAATACAGTATAACAAGTACTCTTATAATGTTCACACTGTATTAGGGATTATAAATAATCCAGAGATGGCTAAAATGTACAGGAGGATGTACACAGGTTATACATACATACTGTGTCCCCCTCCCATTTTTCTGATGTGTGGTATGTGCATGTGTGTATGTCTTTTCATGTATGTGGGTGCATTTGTGTGGGTGCCAGGGCGTATGTGTGTGTGTGTGTGTGTGTGTTTGTGTGTCCCCTGAGGTTGATATCAAGACTCCTCCTCCATTGTTCTTCTGCCATATTCATTGAGGCAGGGTCTAGCTATCAAACCCAGAGCTTGCAGGTATGGCCAGTTTTGCTAGTTGGCCTGCTCTATGGCTCCTCTGCTTCCTCCCTCCGAGGCTGGAGTTACAGGCACGTTGGCACATTCTCTTGGCTTTTAGTGGGTTTCTGGGGATCCAAACTCCATCCTCATACTTGCCTGGCAATTGCTTTAACCACGGAGCCATCTCTCCAGACCTACTACTCTATTATTTTATTATTTATTTAGAAGGACTTTGAGCATCTTCAATTTTGGGTTTTGGCCACTTAATAAATATATGTCATTTTTATATTTATTTAGTGTGCGGGAATACTGTATAATAGTGTGTGTGTGTGTGTGTGTGTGTGTGTGTGTGTGTGTGTGCATGCATGCGCGTGCACGCGCGCGTGTGTACCTCTGAGCCATCCTCCTAGTCCGGTGTATGTTCTATTAAGCCACTGTTCGCAGCAAGTGATTAGGCAGTGTAAGAAGGCCACGAGGTCAGTGCACGGTCAGTTTTAAACAAGGGAGACAACCCCAGCTTACTTTACAGCAGCACCCATGCTTTGTCTCCACTCTTTCCTCACCTCCACTCACCAGCAAGATGGCTCCACCCTGGAAACCACTCTAGGTGAGAGTCACCTCCTTCCCAGCCCCACAGCCTCTGTGTGTCCAAGTCACCCACTGTCCCTTCAGGGCTGCTGTGGTCCCCTCCAGCTGGAATCGGCCTCTCATCTCTCCGGGTGTTTCCACAGGCTGCCAGCTTTCTGCTTGTGTCTAAGACCTGCGCCCCTGAAGGGCATGCTGGCCCCCAGGCGACCCAGCTCGACACCTCAAGGTCTTCCATTGCCTTTTGCACCTCAGCCCTGAGCACCCTGAGGGCTCTTCCTTTTCTCAATATGATATCTGCTAGCAGCCTTTGCTCAGGGTACTCTGAGTCTTCCTGTGTCTGCCTACAGGAAGCCCTGTATCTCAGCTCAAATGTCACTAGTTCCTTAACACTCACAGTTCTTCAGGGGCCACTGGCCTGTCCCCTACCCACCACTATGCATGTGGAATTCCTGTCCTATAGCTCTCTTCATGTCTTCACCAGGGAGGAGGACTCTTGGGGCAGGAACTCTGCCTGACCCTGCCCGAGCCCTCTTGGAGGGACAGGCGCCGAGTGCTTGTGCTATTCTCAGCATGGAGAAAGTGTGGCCTTAAGGCCTCTGTATTCACTCAGGAGCAGGCAGCCAATGTACTTACCTTGAGCTGGGCCTCGGGAGCAGGTGGTATCTCCTCGGTTCTTCCTCTGGTTCCGAGGACCCCAGGAAAAGCAAGTCAGTAGGCCAGGGAAGCCGGGTCTTTCCCAGGCACCTTCTGCTAGAAAGAGTCCAAATCCCCAAGGCAGAGGTCAGCTAATGCCTGCTTCACAAACCAAGAGACTTTCCTCAGCAACCCAGGCGTCTCGACCGCCTACCGCCCTGCCTTCATGTGTCTGGTTATCTCACTTCAGCCTCACACATTTCTGTGACATGTGCACATGCTGGGGAAACCATGGCAACAAAATGACATGAAATCAGTCACAACTGCATACCAAAGAGGGCGGTCATTTCTCCTTCAGTCCAGGTTCAAATCTCCCTCCTTTCCTTGTTCCCCCACATCACTTCTTCATTTGTTTGCTCATCCATCTAGTCATTTGTTTTTGTGACAGGACCTCACTATGTAGCCAGGGTTGGCCTTGAACTTTCCATCCTCCTGCCTCAACCTCCCAAATGCTGTGATTACAGGCATGCATCATTGTGCCTTGCTTCAGACTACTTCTGAACATCAAAAGTTTGTTTTTTTTTGTTTTTGTTTTTGTTTTTTTTTTTGAGACAGGGTCTCTTTCCTTAGCCTGGCCTGGAACTCACTGTATAGACCAGGCTGGCCTCAAACCCCCACAGATTTGTCTGCCTCTGCCTACTAGGTGCTAGGATTAAAGGTGTGGGTTACCATGCCTGACTTTCATAAAACATTTGAAAAGCAGGAAATGGATGCATGAGGAGTACTAATTAACTCATGAACTTGACTCATTAGTAAAAGTTTTTGTTTTTTTCAGTGTGTTGTTATAAAAGTAGGCAAGAGTTGCATATAGCAGAAGATGATACTTCTGCTAAAGTCCCATTTTCCAGAGTGTTAGTGTTTACTTCAAAGCAAGGATTTAGTCATCCATCTCGGATGCCAGGCAGGGTGTTAGGGAATGGGAATACTAGGGTTGTTAAACTCACAAGAGAACAGTGACAAAACCATTTGGTCGTCGCTGAGAGAGCCAAAGACCACAGATTCTGAAATTTCACTAATGAATTGCAAACGGGAGCGAGTGTGCAGGTTTTTCAGAAGGCTCCCTGAGGGAAGAGGTTCTGTTCTGAACCGAGGGGTGGGTGAGCTACACAGAAAGAAGAGGAGAGAGGTTGGATTACAGCCATGGGCACAACACCATGGCCAGAGTTCAGCGTGGCTGGAGAAACTGAGAGTTGAGAGAAGGAAGGCTTAGAGAGTTTTCTAGGTGCCAGCTCCTTACTTAGTCAGGGAGAGTTTGCCTGAATTCCCTTCTTTCCCTCAAGGCCCGGTAAGGAATCAGCTGACCGGATATTATCGGAACAGGAATATACCTGGGGTACTTTTCAGGATGCTGGAAGTTGCTCAGCCTCCACAGAAGGGAAATTGGCCAGAGGCTAGGGGAGCCTCCAGTGAGAGAAACACATTTGCCAGGCTGGCAAGTGTGACATTTGGAACATCAGATAGTGTCTCCCCATGAGAAAGGTCTGACGTCTCCCAGGGGCTGGCTAATGGCCAATAGCAGATGCCCCGGAACACCCCACACAGCCACTTATTAACTCGGAAGCTTGCTATGATAAAGAGTCAAGTGGGAGGGAGCTTTCGCTGAGCAGAGCAAAGATCTCCCAGTGTCTGACGCAGCTCCGTTGAAGGTCCACATTTTAATCCCACTACACTGCAGAGTTCCTGCAAAACCTGCTGCCTGGGACATCTGACCCGTCTGTGATGGAGCAGTCCCCGGCTGGGGGAAGCTCTCACACCCCTGTCTACACTTTAAAGTGTGGAAGGAAAAAGTGGCCCCACTACACCTGGCAAGGCAGCCAGCGATCAGTGGCGACGCAGTGCAGGCGGGAAGCCAGGAATCACTGAGGTCACCATGGTCCTCGCGACCTTCCCGACTGGCACTTATTTCGTGCCTCTGCCAGGAACTGTGTCCGCCTTCCACCCTTCCACACCGAGCCTCCTGGCGCGGCTCACCCTCTCCCAAAATTCCTGCGACAACCGTACTTGCACCGTGTCCTAAAGCTCCAGTCACCCCCTCTCCGCCTAAGTTCTTCACCATCCCCCACGCACACCATCCACACTTTTGCATCCCGAGACGTTTCCATCTTCTTCCCCTATCCCCAGTCTCCAACTCCTACATTTTTGTTCAGAGTAGTTCAACCCTACTTCATATCCACTTACTGACCAGTTGTACCCTCGGCTCCTTGCTCCCCATCTCACGTACAGTCTGGATCTGGCCTGACCGACTCAACTTCTTGTCCAGAGCCAGCTCACCTTAGGCTGAAAGGTCTTGAGCTAGGGACTTCCCTGCTCCGGGCTTCAGTTTACCTCGGTGCACAACAGAGTTGGGTGGCCTAAAGGGGTTCAACAGATCTAAAGGGACTGAAGGCTTCCCCAGACGCCTTCACCCATACCCAGCCCGACCCCGCGCAGCCTCACCTGGTCGACCTGGCCCCGCGGCTTGCAGGGCCCTGCAGGCCGCCTGCTGGACCGCCAGGCTGGAGGCCGGGGAGCCTGGGTGGAAGGCGGCAGCCTGCACCGGGCCCCCCACCTGGCGGCCGAACACTGTGCGCAGCAGCGTCTCCAGCAGCTGCAGTCCCGGCGCCACCGCGTCCTCTGCTCCGGAGTCGGCCACCAGGACCCCGACCAGCGCGGCGCCCTCCCGCCGCCGGCCGCGCACATCCCGCAGCATCTCCCGCAGGCGGCGCCGCGGCTCCCGGGCTGCCAGCGACGAGGAGCGGCACAGCGCGAAGACGAGCGGCGAGCAGATGACGCGCGCTGCCTTCGCCCCCGGAGCCCGATGCGGCCCGGTGGCCGCTGCGGTGACCGCGTTCCCGGCCTCTGCGCAGCCCGGCTTGCCGGGCTCGGGCTCCGACTCCGGCTCCGGAGGGAACACGGCGCGGGAGAAGTCCTGCAGCAGCGCGCGGCTCTGCTCGCGCTCCCACAGCTCGCCCACCAGCAGCACTTGCCCGCGGCCGCCGGCAGCTTCCACCAGCGCCTGGAAGAGCGGCTCGGCCGGGCTCGCCGGCTGCTGGGCCAGCGCCTCCAGCTCGCTCTCCATGCTAGCCGCCGCCGCCTCCTGCGCGGGGCCAGGAGCTCCGCGGCCGCCTCTACGGACACGCCCCCGAGGGCCGAGCCTCCCCGACCCCTTTGCTCCATGGCTGCGCCCAGCGCACTCCTGCCCCAGAGCACTGAATATCTTTCATTCACTCACTCACTCACTCACTCACTCATTCACTCACTCACTCACTCACTCACTCACTCACTCACTCATTCATTCATTCATTCATTCATTCATTCATTCATTCATTCAGACACCCAGTACATACTTACTGAGCACCTAGTAGAGCAGACTTTTGAGCTGAGGGTGAGTGGACATTAACGTACTCACAAACGTACCCGCTCAAGGTAAAAATTATTTTGAACCCCGGAGCATATTTACTTATTTATTTTTCAAAAAGATTTATTTATTTATCTATCTGTTTGTTTGTTTGTTTGTTTAATGTGTATGAATGTTTTGCTTGCATGTATGTGCACCGGTACCAGCGTCTGATCCCTGGAACTGGAGTTGTGGATGGTTATGAGCAACCATATGAGTTCTGGGAACTCAAACCAGGTCCTCGGCAAAAGCTGATGTTTATTTTGGGGGAGTCCTACAGGGCTTGGGGTTCGGAGCTGCTTTTCCTTGGTGCACGCGTTGGAACTGAGATGGAGCAGAAGAGTCGGTGAGACCGGGAGAGGGAAGCGACGCATGGCGTCCTAGCTTCATTTCTGTTCTGGGATAAAAGCACCCTAACCACAAACAACTTAGGGAAGGGAAGAAAAGGCTCATTTTAGCTCACAGTTCCTGGCTGCAGCCCATTGCTGCAGGGAAGCGACAGAGGCAGGGACTCCAGACTGCTAGCCACATCACACTCACAGTCAAGAGCAGACAGAAATGAACGCTCTGTTTGTGCACAAGCACACACCAAGGAATGGTGTCATCCACTTCAGGCTGCGTCTCCCCACATCAGTTAAGTCAATCAAGGTAATCCTGGCCACCCCCAGACTTGCTCACAGGCCAACCCGATCTAGACAATCCCGCCTTGAGACTGATTTCCCAGGTGATTCTAAAGTGTGTTGACAACCAGCGTTAACTGGCATGCAGGGCATACCTCCTCTACCCAGTTCTCCTTTTCAACCTCCAACACTTCCTTCAAATGGATCAAGGTCACCATTTCCACAACTACTTGTTGAATTCTGGGTACTGCCCGATGCAGTGTAGGGCTGTTGCTCCCCATGGACCAGAATCTAAAGCAGTGGTTCTCAACCTTTGGGTTGAGACCCCACTGGAGGTTGAATAACCCTTTCACAGAGGTGGCCTAAGTCCTAAGTCTCAGAAAACACAGATATTCACATTAGGATTCATAACAGTAGCAAAACTATAGTTATGAAGTAGCAATGAAAATATTTTTATGGTTGGGTCAACCACAACATGAGGAACTGTGTTAAAGGGTCTGCATTAGGAAGATTGAGAACCATTGACTTAGAATTAGATGTGGGATGCTGGTGTGCTCTGATGTTGGGGTGCATGTGTAGGTGTATATGTGTGTATATATCTATGTCTGTGTGTCTGTCTGTCTGAAAACCAGTTTAGAAGCAGGAATGCTTTTCCTACGATTCTCCTGGACCCTGGCAACTTTCTCCAAAAGAACACTCTGTGAAATGTTTTTCCTGCCTTGTGCAAATGCAGATGCCCCGAGACACGTATGGTTATCATTGTGCACAGGAGAGGAGCTGGTGCAAATGACTTTTACATGCTATTTAACGTCACTTCAAATCCAAATAGCCTCAGTGGCTTGTGTCTAACCTCTTTGTTTTCCCTTCCATTCACTACATAGCAATTGGCCCAAAGGCTGTTGGTGTCAAGACATTTTAATGCCCATATAATTTTAATTCACCATATAACCCCAATCCTCTCTTTGAAATACCGTGTTCCCTACTTTTATAACTATGCTCCCTAATCATGGAGGGTTTTGCATGTCCATAAAACGAATCTTTCTTGGGTACGTACTGTATACACGAAGCAGTCAAAGGTGTCCAAGATGCAGCCCTTTCCTAAGTCTCATTGTCTAGTAGTTGTCTTAGCCAGTATTTGGAGGAAGGTAACATATGTCTTCTCCTCTCCCACTCCTCCTCCTTCTTCTTCTTCTTGGTTTTTTGAGACAGGGTTTCTCTGTGTAGCCCTGGCTGACCTGGAACTCACTTTGTAGACCAGGCTGGCCTTGAACTCAGAGATCTACCTGCCTCTACTTCCCATGCTGGGATTAAAGGCATGTGTCACCATCACCTGGCTAAGGCAACATAGATTTTTTTTTTTATCTGGTTCTCATTAATGGGACTCTTACCTTTGCAGACTGACTCGTGAACTCCCCTGGAAGGGTGCTGTGATGTTCAAAGCAGAGTTTGGGACCTGGGTGGGAAAGCTTCATGTTTAGAGATGAATGCAAGGTGGGGTTCCTTCGCCAGATCAGTGATGAAGTCACTTCACTCTACAGACTAGGCATCTCCAGTTTCCACTGTGCGCAGTGCTGGGGAGCAGTTGTGAATGAGCAAGCTCACCTCCACAGAGATGGCAACTAGTGGGGGCAGAGACAATGAACAAGTAAACACACAGCAGACAGCTTCAGATGGTGGTCTGTATTGTGGAAAACAAATAATGTATCACTGACAAGAGGCCTGAGGCCCTGGTCCATTCTGAGTGCATAACTCTGACCATACCCCAGGAGCAAGGGGTAAGTGAATAAGGACCATGACAAATTAATGCAAAAACAATAGAAACCCCACATGTCCTCCACTCAGGGCAATAAAAGGGATTAGGTTAAGTGAACACATCACACTCGCCCATCCCACCCCATTCCTATCTCTGTCTCCACTGTGATACTTGGAGACAGAACAAAGCTGTGCCATCCAGGAAAGGTATGCGGGAAGTGGCTAATAGAGAAGATCTCTTTTCCTAGGTTTTTGGGGACTTAGTTTTTAGAAAAGTGATTATTCTTTCGTCATACCACCATAATGGCAGCTAAAGCTCCAGTCATGACATCTCCCTCAGAAGAGCTTGATGGTAGCACTGAAAAAAGAACTGAAATCAAACACTCCATTAAGAGAATAGGATGTTGGAGGGATAGCTCCAGGATAGAGAGTCTAGGATTACTCAACAGCAGCATGTGTGATGGTTAATCTTCACTGAAACTTGACTAGATTTCGAATCACCTAGGAGACACACCTCTGGGTGTGTCTGTGAGGCTGTGTCCAGAGAGATTTAAGTGAGTAAAAGCCTATCCTGAATGTGGGTGGAAACCACACACACACACACACACACACACACACACACACACACACACTGAGGCCCCAGACTGAATAAAAAGAAAAGGAGAAAGAAAGAAGAAAGGGACCTGAGCCCCAGGAATCATTTCTTTGCTTCCTCCCTGGAAGCAAGTGACCAGATGCCCCGGGCTCCGGCCACCAGGCATAAGGGACCACACCCCCCACCTGTGATCCAGAGTAAGTCTGTTCTTCCTTAAGCTGCTTTTGTCTGGCAGTTAGTCACAGCAGCTGGAAAAACACCAGGTAAGGAAAATTGCCTCTGAAAAGGGCTGTTTCTGTGATGAATCTGACCAAGTGATTTGTAGATATTTGGGACTGATTTTTGGAAAGGATGTGGAAGAGTTTAGGACTGTGTGCTAGAGAAGCACCAAATGCTCTGAGGAGAACTCCATGAGGGTAGACAGTAAAGACTGTACTCAAGAGGGGGACAGTAACTCTGTCAGGAGACAGATTAGGGGCTAATTATGTGCTGTTCTGTGAAAGAATATGACCACCTTCTGCCCATGCCCTGAGAACTTGTGTGAGGATGAATTCAAAAGCAATGGACTAATTTGTTGCACAGGGGCTTTTTAACACAATATGGCATTCAGTGCCATAGTTACTGATCACTATTCTTATCCAGGTTTACAGTAGAAAGAGGAGAAAGTGGGGAAAAGGGTATGAAAAGTGTGCCATTTAGTGAGGAAAGTAATGTGAATGAGTTTAAAAGCTGCAGATGAGGAGGGTGAAGAGACAGCAGCTCAAGCATGGGACTGTCAGGGAGTGTAGCACGGTTAAGAAGAAACCTTGCCCTTCACACTGAGATGACAGGAAGGATACCTTGATCCCACCTATCAAAGATACTGAGTGTGGGCTGGAGAGATGGCTCAGTAGTTTTTTTTTTGGTGTGAGTTCTCTGTCTGCACGCATGCTTGCATGCCAGAGAGCATTAGATCCCATTATAGATGGTGTGAGCCACCATGGTTGCTGGGAATTGAACTCAGGACCTCTGAAAGAGCAGCCAATGCTCTTAACCACTGAACCATCTCTCCAGGCCCCTAAAGAAACCTTCTAAAAAAGTTTCTAACTTGTGAAAATGCAAATTCATTTGACAGGAAGGAGACTGAACTTCAAATGCAACTAAAGGGATTCCGTGCTTGGTGATAACCTCCTGTGGCTGGCTGCCATTCTCTGCCAAGGTGCCCAGGGGGCACTACAGCTGTGGTACAGGGGATAGACTATCTCTCACTGTGGCATCAAGACCTTGGCATAGTCATCCACATGGTGCTGGTTTTACAGGCCTGGAAAAAAAAATGTGAGAGTTACATAATGGAGGCTTACATCAACGTTCCAGAAAGACATGAGACCAGGCAAAGTGTGGCAGGGTCACATTCCCTGCAAGGAGACCCCTGAGAAATCATTTCATACAACTGTGAAGGTGAAGCCTTAGTTGCAAGGGGAAACCCGTTTTGGAGATGCCAGGACTGTGGGATGAGTGGAACAGGCCTAAGAGAGGCTGTGTGTGCTGCAGTCCACAGAGGGGAGAGTGGTGCTACCCATGACCGTGGGAGCCTCAGTGACGTCATCAAGGGCTCCACATTCAGGACATGGAGCTGAAGAACACGGTGTTTTCCCTGGTGGGTTTCCTTCAAGCTTTGCCTGGTTTTTCTTTGCTATGCCCTCATTTCTCTTTTTTTGGAGTGGGGATGTTCATTTTGTGTCATTGTATATTGGAAGTATATAATTCGTATTTTTTATTTTACAAGAACTCAGTTAAGAGATTGTGTGAATCTTGGAAGAAACTTTGTACTTACACTTTTGAATAATCTGGAACTGTAGCTAGAGTTTTCCTGCCTGGCCCACAGTCAGGACAAATCTCTCTCACCTGCCAGTCCCACAGCCGCTCAGACCCAACCAAGTAAACACAGAGACTTATATTGCTTACCAACTATATGGCCGTGGCAGGCTTCTTGCTAACTGTTCTTACAGCTTAAATTAATCCATTTCTATAAATCTATACCTTGCCACATGGCTCGTGGCTTACCGGCATCTTCACATGCTGTTTGTCATCCTGGCGGCTGGCAGTGTCTCCCTGACTCAGCCTTCCACTTCCCAGCTTTATTCTCCTCCTTGTCCCGCCTATACTTCCTGCCTAGCCACTGGCCAATCAGTGATTTATTTATTGACCAATCAGCAACACACTTGACATACAGACCGTCCCACAGCATGGAACTGTCAAAACTATGGGGAGTTTAAAAATGGGAATGGATGCACTTTGCATTATAAGATTGCCATGTGTCTACAAAGCCTGGGGGCTGTTATGCTTTTAAAATGATATATTTGGGTTGGAAAGGTGGTTTAGAGGGCACAGGCCTTGCTTGCAGGCCCGAAGACCTGAGTTTGATCTTTAGATCACACAAGGTGGCAGGAGACACCTAAGAGTTATCCTCTGACCTCCACATGCATGTGGTGGCATGTATGCACCTGCATATACATGCTTGCACCTGTCTATACACGCTCACATACACACACACACACACACACACACACACACACACACACACACTAAATAAATAAATAACATTTAACAAAGTAATGTGTTTAGACATAAAATTGGCCAGGGATAGCCTTGTAATAATTAATTTGTTGTCAATTGATCACCCAGGAGGCACGCATGTCTATGAGTTGTTTCTAGATTTTTAAAAAATATTTATTTATTTATTTATTTATTTATTTATTTATTTTTCTGGAGCTGAGGACCAAACCCAGGGCCTTGCACTTGCTAGGCAAGCGCTCTACCACTGAGCTAAATCCCAAACCCCGTGTTTCCAGATTTAATAGACAAAAGACCCATCCTGAATGTGAGTGGCACCATCCTATTGACTGGGGTCCTATACAGAGTGAAAAAGTAAAAAGTGAGCTGAGTACGGTCAGTCACTTCTCTCTACTTCAAAAACTTTAAAACTACTTATAAACTTTACTATAAAAAAAAAAACAAACTTGCAACTAAAAAAAAAAAAAGTCACATGCAGAAATGAACCAGACCCAAAGTCTCTGCTCTACATCTTAATGAACTTCTATACAATGAGAACAGCCGTTCTGAATCTATGGAACTTCACATTGGGTTTTGCACTTTCTGTGTTTGGAATCTGGAGACAATGTGGCCAGCTGTCACCTGCCCCTGCTGTCCCCTTTCTTGCTACCACACTTTCCCTATTACAATGGACCGTGTTCTCAACCCACAAAACAAGCCCTTTAATCTTTAGGTGGCTTTTGTCAGTGCAACAACAAAAAAAATAATTGAGTGTGCTGGCCAGAATTTTCGTCAGCCTGACACACTCTAGGGTCTTCTGGGAAAAGGAACTTCAGTTAAGTAAATGTTTCTATCAGATTGGCCTGTAGACAAGTCTCTGGGGGTATTTTCTTGATTAATGATTAAAACGGGAGGGTCCAGCTCACTGTGGGAGGTGCCACCCCTGGGCAGATGGAGTTGGCATAGGAGAGCAGGATGAGCAAGCCATAAAGAGCAAGCCAGTAATCAGCACTTCTCCATGGCCTCTGCTTTTCAATTCCTGCCCCCAGGTTCCTGCCTTGTGTTCCTTCTCTGACTTCATCTCGAGGATGGAGTGTAATCTGCAAAAAAAAAAAAAAAAATCAGTTCTTTACCCTGCAGGTTGCTTTTGGTCATGGTGTTTATTATAGCAGTAGAAACCTAGTTAGGATGTACAGCAAGCACAAGGGATGAAATCACTTGTCAAAACTCTGCGGTGCCATGCCAGCGAGACACGGCCCTTTGGCTCTTTCTCCTGGCCCCTGTTCTTTTCATGAGCTAGAATCCCTAACCTATGCAAGGAGGAGAAGGGAGTGCCAGACCTCTTTGTTGTGGCTTCTCACCTCATTCCTGGCTCGTACCCTGCTCTGTCTATCAGTGCCATGCATAGGGGTGGGGCTAGAGGTAGGCAGTGATTTCCACCAGACACCAGACCAGGGCACAAGCCTAAGGTGATAACTTGGCCCTGGTCCCCCTTCCCTTTCTCTCTCTCTTTCTCTTTCTTTCTTTCTTTCTTTCTTTCTTTCTTTCTTTCTTTCTTTCTTTCTTTCTTTCTTCCTTCCTTCCTTCCTTCCTTTCTTTCTTTCCTTCTTTCCTTCTTTCCTTCTCTCTCTCTCTCTCTCTCTCTCTCTCTTTCCCTTGAGGTGGAGGCCATGTGGGTGTTTCTCCTGTTTTTTTTGGTTTTTTTTTTTTTGGTTTTTCGAGACAGGGTTTCTCTGTGTAGCTTTGCGCCTTTCCTGGAACTCACTTGGTAGTCCAGGCTGGCCTCGAACTCACAGAGATCCGCCTGGCTCTGCCTCCCGAGCGCTGGGATTAAAGGCGTGCGCCACCACCGCCCGGCCGTTTCTCCTGTTTTTACATTAGCTTCTTAGCATCCTTATTAACCTCCCTCTTCCTCTGTAGCACAATTGGGGTTGTGTGCATAGAAGGGCTTGCCTTTCAAGGACACTACCACCTTGAAAATGGGCACAAGCTGAGAGAATGGCAGGGCCAGGCTGAGTCAGGTGAACAGAAAGGGAGTTGACCCCACTAGGTCACCTCTTTAAGGAGTACGGACAGATCATGGAGCACTTCTTGATAAGGCTGGGCCTCCTGAACTATCTCTCTCCTCTTGGGCTCTCAGTTTCCAGGTAACAAATTCCAGACTTTCCAGAGGTGGGATGCAGGGTAGACCAGATAGAGGAGGGAATGTTAAACAAAGGTTGGAGTCCAGGGCCAGTGAGTTTATCTTTACCTGTGCTATTTACACAGCAAAGGTTCTGGTATGAAATTAACAGGAAATCACAAAGACCTTAAAAACAAAAACCAGGCCGGATGCCAAGGCTCTTTCTTCTTCCTGGTCATCCACACCCTAGGGAGCAACAGGAGCCACAGGGAGCTCCTCTTTCTGGCGTTCAGTGGCTGTAACCGGAGACTGGGATTCTGAAACGGTTTGCCCTTCCTGTCCACTTCAGCAGGATTTAAGTGGGGGTCAGGTGTGACAAGGAAGGGCTATCTGGAAAACAAAGGGCGCGATTTTGACCCCTTTGCTTGGGGCCTCCTTCCTCTGCACTGTTTCCCCTCTTTCTGTTTTCACTTCCACAGTTTTTCTTTTTCCACCATTCGCTCTCTCTTCCTGCCTTTCTCTCTCGGGGCTCTCTCTTCTTGCCCGACTATTGTTTTATGGGCCGTGTACTAGTAGGTGGGAGTGGGAGACCGGGAGCTTCCTGAGGAGTAGCGATCAGAGAAACCACAGGACCCATAGAAGAATGAGGGCTGGTAGAAAGTACAGACTGGAAACATTCTGACATGGATTGTGGGCACTCATTGGCTAGCCCCAGCCTGTGTTCTGGCTGCTGGATGGCCAGACAGGGCACCACTATTGGAAGAGTTCACTTCTTCATCTGCTTGGCAAGGGTTGGTTTCAATCTGGCACAGGAAAACATATTTCCATGCCAGCTGGCATTCATATGGAGGTAATCGTCTCAGTTTTACTTGATGAAGGTGTGTTAAAAAGACCGGAGGAGGGGTTGGAGAGATGGCTTAGAGTTAAAAGCACTGGCTGTTCTTCAGAAGACTTGGGTTTCATTCTCAGGTCTCACATGGCAGCCCATAACTATCTATAACTCCAGTTCTAGGGAGAATCGAATGCTTCCTTCTGATTTCTGCAGGTCCCAGACATGCATATGGTGTACAGACAAACGTGCAGCAAAGACATTCATACACATAAAACAAAACAAAAACCTGAAACATTAAAACAAATACATAGACAAAACAAAACACAGAATGCTGTGAGACAGAACCCTGGCACAAGGAAGCCCCTGCTGTGTTCTTGATGGGCCCGGGAGTACTTGACAGTACTTAACAGTACTTAACTTCAGGAGGAAGTGCAGACAGGTCCCTGGAGTGTGCCTACACGGACTGAGAGAGCTAGAGGGGACAATCCTGTATGCAGAGACACTCAGCATGCAACAGCAGAGAGTGTATCAGCACTTGCCACCCTGGTGTCCTGCCCACAGCTCCAATGTGACTTCATGGGAATCTGTCATTATCTGACTCTCCAGCAATGGATACAGCCGACTTGTTAGTTAGTATCATGGTGGTTTCAAAGCCACTTGATTTGGGTCTCTCTCTCTCTCTCTCTCTCTCTCTCTCTCTCTCTCTCTCTCTCTCTCCTCTTGGTTTTTTAAGATAGTGTTTCTCTGTGTAGCTCTGGCTGTCCTGGAACTCACTATGTAGTCCAGGTTGGCCTCGAACTCACAAAGATCTGCCTACCTCTGCTTCCTGAGTGCTGGGATTAAAGGCATGAACCACCAAGGCCAGCGATTTGAGTCTCTTTTGAAATTTAGTTGGCCTGATCAAGCAGGAGGTTGAGTCTAAGTTTCTATGGTCCAAATTTCCTGGGGAAATGTGCTGGTTACCAATGTGATCAGGAAGCAACCATGGTCTTTATTGTGTGGATTGATTCTTCCTTATTTGGATAGCTGTCTTAAGTATGTACCCCCAAGGGTTCACATGTCGGGAGCTTGGTCCCCAATGTGGTGGCAAGGTTACTGGGGTTCTCTTGCAGTATTCTCATGGAAATCCCAAACAGGATAAGAGTAACTCGGTAACTTGGTAGCCCTGCACCTCTGAGCTGCAGACACTTTGAGCTGGGTTTTCAAAGCCAGTGGCTTCCATCTTTAACCCTGGGGAAGCAGACACAAGCCAGTGATTTACACCCTAGGCTCTCAAAGGCAGAGGCACGCTGCCTTGAGCCTTGAGTGCTAGGAAGCCAGTGTCCAGTATGCAGTGCTGCAGCTCTGAGCTTGGCCTGCTAGGGCTCTCGGCTCTTAGCTCCTCTAGGTGACTGGGCAGCTTTCTAGAACTTTTCCGCCCCTCATACGTGCAGCTCCAACCTCTTGCCTTCCATAGTCTCCATTCTCTTCAGGACCCTGCACTCAGTTACTCTCTGGAATGCTCTTTCTGTCCAGATGCTGTGGAGTTATCTGGGGCTAGTCTGGGGCTAGACACTCTGGAAATTGCCCATTCTGCGGAGACAGTTGAGTCTACCTTGAGAAGAGACCAGAAGGAGACAACGGGCTTTATTGGGGCCTGTGTTTACTGCACAGGGGAGACTGTGGGAGGGAAGTCTCCTGCACAACCACCCTGAAGTTGGAAGAGCATTGTTCAAACAAACAGACCTTCTCCCTGCTAACTACTCACACAAAACAGACACATAGAAAAGTCCAAGCTGTGAATAGGTAATAGCAGGGAACTAAATGCTATGTAAGAAGCAGAGACTGTCAGACCAAATTAAAAAGTGCAGAGCATCCACCAAGGTAGACCGTAGGATGTAACATGACCAGCTGCCTCAGGCTCTTGCTAACACGACAGACTGTATCTTCAACTGTGAGCCAGAATAAACCCTTCCTACCTTAAAAAACAAAACAAAACTTTGAAGGATTCACTACACACACGATGTGAGGTATTAAATCAGTAATCAGTCATAGAAATAGTAAGTTGTAATCAATCTCGGTAGGATATCTAAAAATTCC